AAGACTAGAGTGCTAAAGCCATACCCTATTTATAACCAAAATGGCCAAAATCGATACCCTATTTATGACCAAAACTGCTGAAAAACCCTACCCTTTGGGGCCGCACTTACCTATATAGCCCATACAAGGGAGTACCCCCTCCCCCGGGATTCCAAACCACAAGGGCCGCCAGTGGAAAATTCACCTGTACCCTACACCATAAACTTAATTCGATTAAGAAATGACGTTATGAGTCTACAATTACGACTAGCTGGAAGAAAAGATACTCCTTGTTGGGCAGAGTCGCAGTGATTTTGATCTTCAGAGCAATGACACGACACATTTGCGAGGTAATTATCGCGAAATAATGTGGTTTCACTCGTTGGAAAACCATTAATTTCATCGCAATACATGTCTCAAAAGCCCTGTCAAGTTATCTCTTTTCGATCAACTAGTTCAAAGAAAATATTTTAAAAAAACCAACTGAGATGGAGGTTAATAAAAAAAAACATTCATTTACACCGTTTTCCACTTAAGCATTATTTCGGGCTACCATTTGGGAAATGGAAGGGACTTTTAAGTAAAATACAGGGGTACCTTGAAATTCTGGGTATACAGGGGGAGGGTAATGCAGCGTTTATGGTCATTTATGCATTCAGATTTTTGGCGGGAAACAGTTTTGCTCTGTGACAGACGCGGCACAGTGTACTTCCGCACAGGTCCCGGCTGTTTCCCGCCAAAACATCCGAATGAATACCTGTGCAAAGGCCTGCGGGATACCTTCAAGGGAGCTTTCAAAGACGGGATAAATATGCGTACACTTGTTTATAAGAGCCCGTAAAAGGTTCTCGTTTTCTTTTATAAATTCAGGAATAAATGGTTATTATATGCACATAAATACCATTTCTAGGCAAAAATGACGCCAGGAGTTACTTCAAACGCCTTAGGAGATTAAGTTAGAATAAACGCACATGATTAATTATTACCCAACTCGTTATGAGGCTTTACAGGTCAAGACGGGCAAGGAATTGCCTAGCATGTTCCTGCGAACTGAAATTGCCTTATTAAAACGCTGCCTCTAAAATAGCCATAGAAACCGTGAACTGATGTAAAACAAGCGAATCTTGTAAACTTGCCTCTGTCCAGATATTTGCAGGAAATGTAAGATTTCAAATAATTCTAGACCTCATATCATGGACTGGGCCTTAATTTTGTTACTTTTTCAAATATTTTCCCTCAACTTCGATATATCGTACAAAATGCATTGGAAATAGAGATTCAGTATTATTGGTTACGTCATGTCAGGAGTTTTTGTCACCTGCCGTCCCAGACCCCAAGTTGGCCGTTGTAGAAGGAGAGGTTACGAGTTGGATAAGGGATAACTGACGCTGAAGAACCAAGCCCTTGTGGAGAGAATGTGTTCAAATCGCTGGCTGATTCTTGAAAGAGCGAGGCGTCCTGCAAAGAGATGGCAGTCATGTGAAACAAAATAGCTTCAATAAGCAAATTTTTATCACGAATTATACCCTTTTTTCTCACTGCGACTGTCTGCTGAGAGACTTGGACGGCCTAGCCTATTTGCAAGTCTAACATGCCAGAAATATACTCATATGCTTTTTCGCGTTTTTTTCCGTTACGGGAAATCAAATTCTCAATGTGCAATCAAAAATTGGTGAATGTACAAGCGACCACAGTGAAGTCACACGTCAGCTTGACGTCATGTTGCTAAGCAACGTCTCCGACTTAAAACGTTATTCTCGAAGACGAAGTTTCCACCGGAAGTAAATTCGTGTGGCACAGCTGGTGCGCCGGACGACTGAAAGGCAACTTACTGTTAGAAATGAGAAGAGAACTGAAAAATATTTACCTGATGCTTGGATATAAAATCCAATACCCTCAGAGTGAGTTTTCGGCTGGAGTGCACTAGTGAATTTAAACTGCAAAAGAAAAATAGACAATTCAAAGATCAGTGACTTGCCTGTCTGCTTATATGCTGTTTTTAATGCAAAAGGTGTAATTAAGATTTGCAACTCAAAGATTGTCAGAATTGTTACCTGTCTTCATGACATAATCCTTTGGAAGAGATCTGCAAAAGAACATTCAAAACACATAATTGAAACAAAATGACGGTACAACATAAATTGAAGCATCGCAAGTACTTTCTTCAAATTATTGGTTTGAAGCAAAAGTTGTACATATTTGGTAACCTGCCGTTATTACTGTATTCAGCGAGTTGCTCCTCAAAATAAGAAACTGTAGTCTTGACGTAAGATCCAGATACCCTACTCTACCGATTTAGTATAGGTCTACCAGCGTTCTCTCACGAATGCCGTTCTCTTATTGGCTACGCTACTCACTATCTATTCTGCCGTTGATGGTGAGTAGCCTAGCAGTGTGCGGTTGGTAACAAAATGGCGCCCGCTTCTTTGCCTTTTCAAAGTGTCCGTGAAGAGGATTTGTTAAGTTTTGAACGACTTGTATATTTATACTAAGACAATTAGTTTATTCGCTCTCGATTTCTACGCGTGATCGAAATCTCGAGCTCATAATCTTGTTGTTAAGTAAAATATTTAGAGAAGTTTTTACTTACTTTACCAGTTTGCGATTGAGCAGTATCAAGAAGCTTAACTGCTTCTTAAAACAGTAATATGGTTTACTTGTTTTATAGTGCTGCACAATGCGCGAATGACACGTGATTTGCGCATGTTGAAAAGTTTATCCTTAATTTTTCAAGTTCGTCGTTTGTAAACCGTGTTAATCTTCTCCATCCTTAACAATCCTTGTTCCTTTATTGTTTAATATTGTCACTTTGGTGTTTTTCTATCTAAGTAAACTGCTATTTTCAGGTTGCTTCAACATAAATGTAATTTTGTACGTGGCCAAAATAACTCAAAATACCGTGACTGAGTGCCTAAAATGCTGAACTATTGTTGATCATTTGTCATCGAGTTAAATTCTAGTTTCATCATCCATGCAACTAAAAACCGTCTCAGCTTTATTTCTGATCTGTACCTTCTGATAGACCTGTTTACACAAGTCTCCATCGAACAGAGGCAGACCATAGCACAGGTCTAACGGCAACCATTTACCAGCGATGGCTTCTTCTTCATTCTCCTTCTTGCCCTTGCCAACCATTACCATGTCATCCACAGAACTACACGACATCGGGTCCACTCCGTCCTCTTCGTTTTGTTCGTCGCTCGCCGAGTCCTGGCTGCTGTCCGCGTCGTTGATGACGATCAGTGGCGACAGCGACCGAGGATCGTTCGCAGCGGGCGAAGGCATCCCGAAATTTGCCGAAATGGTCCTTCGGCGCGCGTTCGCCGCTTGTTTAGTCACCGAAGGCTTTAACATCGAGATGAAGCCGCACGTGTGTTCAAGGTCGAGACATTTCGAGAGTTGTTGAACGGCGGGGTGCGCTTCCATGTTGTCTTCGGAGAACGGTTCGCCTGTAGGGAGTTAACCGACGATTTAATAGGTGGTGCCGACCATTTTCGAGGAGGACCGAAGATTATCCGAAATATCATCGAAATAATTGCTCACCGTAATTGCGGGAAAAAAAATTGCCCCGCAAATTTACAAGGCGACGAGAAAAGGTTTTCTCCCCTGGCAAGTTGTCAAGATACATGTTTCATTGGAAAGTGTGTAAGGGTCAATGTATGTAGTATGAGTAATAATTAGGTAATATTATTGTCTAACATAACATGAGTCTCATATAAGGTTAAGGGCAGCTATTACAATTTATAAGAGCAGTTTTTAATTACTGGCGTAGAACCAAACCAAACCAAGACTATTCAGCCAATCTCAAACCGTAGTCAAACCAAAACCAAAACCAAAATAACTGCCTGTGATTACTTTCGACAGTCA